AGAGGTGGGAGGGACGGGACGGGGAGGGGAGAGGAAAGGAGAGGGAGGGGAGGGGGGAGGGGAGGGAGATGGGGAGGGGCCGTCTGCTGAGGAAAGGCGGGCAGGCCCACGGTAGGCACTCCTTCCCTCGGTCACCCGCCCCCTGACGCGCCTGATGCTGATACTGACCCAGGCCAGCAGCCCGCGCAGAGGACAAGGCAAGGGGACAACAAAGGAGCGTGAACCCCAGAGGGTGCACCATCTTTAGAGATCACTCACCACCGTGGTCTGGAAGTCGCCACACATTGTTAGCCTCCTCTCTTCCTGTCTTCAAAGGTGAGATGATAATACAAGGAACTTTCAGAATCACTTCATCGTGCAGAGCTAAGGCGCAGATACTCATTGTGTCTTCCTAGCAATCGTTATAAATGAACACCTTCTTTTTCCAAGGTGCTTGCCCGTTTCTCTGCTGGCCCTGGCTCCCACACTGGTGCCTGCTCTTGGGGAGCTAGTCTCCAGTCTTTACCTTAGCTTTGGTGGTGTAGGAGCTTTTAAGCATCGCTCCTAATCTGTCAGATCAGAACACATATTTTATTTCCAATGTTTAAGCACTGCCATTCCACCATCATCCCCTATGACGTCAACCTGCCAGCTTTTATTTGTCCTCCTCTTTCCTGGGCCTGGCACCCAGCCTAGTACAGAAAGACACCCAGCATATGTGTATTGAACACATGAGTCAATTGGATTTGTCTTGGGACTAGCAGTATACCAGCTTGTCTTCTAATAGTTTAGAGGATGCAGAACACTTGCCCATGGAATTGGAAGGAAGAGGGTGGCAGGGGCCAGTATAGTATGCAGCTGGGAGGAGGAGGGTGCACCTGCCTTTTGGCTAGGGTGAGCAGCTGACCCCGCATTTGCTTGATAGTTCTGTGGTCTGTGTTAGCACAGAAAGTCCCAGTAGAGACAAAACCTGGGAAGTCCCTTAGTACTAGGCAAACCAGGACAGTTGGTGGCCCTACTCCTGGTCTATGTTTTTTCTATGAGTTACTGAGAAAACCAGTCTTAACATTTGAAGAATATCTTTCCTTGGTTCTTTTGAAATGAAAACCTGAGTGATTTGTTAACTTTGTTGGCAGTTAGTACAACCTCAGGAAAGAAGAGAGAATAGAGTAATGCAGGCATCAGAAGAGCACCTTTAACAGGGGCAAACTGGCCAGGGCTTCGTGCACACAGCTGGTTGCTTCAGCTTGCAAGGGAGTGCCAAAGAAACCTACAGAGACTACTTTGCGCAGAAACAAGCTGCTGGCTCTATCCCATCACCTATCTCTGGTGGGTCAAAGTCTCACCTATGTCCCTGCTTTACATGACTCCTGCCAGCTGCCTCTGGGAGCCAGTGCTTAAGGGTACCTACCTGTCTTATCAGTATGAGTGAACAAGGCTCTCCTCTGAGTTGGTAACCGGGGACTCTTTGGTCCGAGGTGTGAAAGTGCAAAGGCTGAGACTGTGTGAGCCTTTTCCAGGAGAGCTCAGGTGGAGAGGCAGGAAATGGAGGGTGGGTCTGGGTAGAGCTAAGAGGACCAGAGGACCTGCTAAGTGAATCTAGCACAGAGAAGAGAGAGAACTGCCACCAACTGGAAAAGTGAGTGGCCTGGGAAAACCTACCAGGATTTTTAGGGCTTTGCTGAGACCCTAGTAGGGTTCAGAGTGCCTGTATCCATGAGATTTCCCTGAATGCCCACCTGCTGGTCATTTCCTTGTACTGAATGAGAAGCCCGAATGTAAGAAAGGGAGATTGGCATTGGTCAAAGTGTGGGGTCAATGAGAGCAAAGGACAGAAGACAAATTAGTTTAGGATAATAGGCCTCAATATTTGCTGGAGACTTACTTGGAGAGCCTTAAAAATCCACAGTGCCCAGGCTGAACCACCAAGCCATTAAACCAGTTCTAAAGCAGAGCATAGGCATCAATATCTTTTAAAGGGGCCAGGGAAATGGCTCAGTAGAATAAGCACTTGCCTGGCAAGCATAAGGGCCTGAGTTCAATCCCCAGTTCTGGGGAAAAAATTAAAAAAAAAAATATATATATATATCCCTTTAAAAATTCCAACATAGCACAGCTTTGGTAATCAGTAGTTTGGGCACTGGAATCTATGCTGAATCAGCCCCAGCCCCTCTCTGCAAGTCAGTCACACTTCTGCTCTTTGGTTCTGTGAACTATCCCTACACCCTCATAGTAAATTCTTTTTACTGGCTGACAGTAATACTTGCAACCAAACGTCCTAAACACTGCAGTACCATCTCTTGACAAAGCTGCTAGGAATCCCTGACAAAACTCTTCTACCCTGAGAACTATGGCAAAGTTGTAATTCCCACTGTGGCCTGAAGAAGCAGGATCAAAAGATGTCATTCTAGCAGGGTGTGATGGCACATAACTGTAAACCCAGCACTTGAGAAGCTGAGGCAGAAGGGTTACTGCAAGTTTGAGGCTAGCCTAAACTACATAGTGAGATCATTTCAAACTCCTCCCCAAATTAGATGCCAATCTGGAGCTCCTGGACCATCTGCTCAAGACAGGTGGTATGCTTGTCCTTGCCAGGACTTCCAAGGACTCTGTGTTGGCCTGAATCCTACAGTGAGGCTCTCTTCACCCAACAGAATGGTGTGACATGCCAGAAATAATGCCACAGTCATACTTGATGGATAAACTGAGACATAATTATCTCCACATAGACGCAAACCCCCAGCTGGGCAGTGTGGTACATACCTATAATCTCAGCACTCAGGAGGTTGAGGCAGGGCCATTACAAGTTGAAGCTCAGCCTGGGCATTCAGTGATTTACTGAGACCCTGTCTCATTTAAAAATAAAAAGTCCAGGGGATGTAGTTCAAAGCAAACACCCAGATTCAGTGCTCAAGACTGAGACAAAACAGCAAACAAAGCTCCATCTTCAAGTCCTAAGGCTTGAGGTAGAATGCTGGATGTGCTTGAGGTAGGTGTTGCTGGATGTGCTTGCCTGACAGCTATTTACTGGTTCATGGGTGGATGGGAAGAATGCATAGAGCACAGCTGTCCCTATCACATAATTCTTGCCAAGCTCTGCTTGGCCCTTGCCCTAGGAGACAGAGCAGACAGGATGGTGCCCTGCCGACATGGACCTCCACATCCCAGGGGCAGTGCTTCCTGGGGCCGTTTGTGCACACACGTGTGCCTGCAGGGTCCCCTGCCTTCCAAGCTAACCAGCACTGGGCTCCAGCCACCTCCTACATAACAAATCCAGGGCTGCTCAACTAGAGGTACCATTCGCCACATACTGGCAGCTAGGGAAAGTGGAGGTAGGGCAGCCTGGGCACATGGTGGGTCTGTTCAGCTGTAAGGCCCAGGGTCTCGATGAAAGCCTTTGCTTTTTTCTAGATTCCCAGGTCTGGCCTCTATGGTATATCTTTAGATACAGGACAAGGGAAGAAGAGTCCCATGCAGAAGCTCTGCATAGAAAGGGCCACAGTTGAGAATGACAGTGCCCTGGAGCTGGGCAAACCCAACAGGAGTGGGGAGGGCTTTCAGATAGTCAACCTGGCCTTGCTCTGGTAGCAGCACACACTCTCCCTTGCCCAGAGCCTAAGGCAGTGGCTTCCTCAAATCCCCCCGACTCGCCCCGTGCCTCTTCCTCCTACAGCAGTCTTGCCAGAGCACCATTGGTTTTGAATGAATACTATGTTATAAATTACTTCTCTTCCATTGCTCATTTAGACTACAATTAGACTAACTTTTTTTTTTTAAGTTATGGAGGCATATATGGTATGGGATTTCATTTTCAAGACTTAAAGACTGGTGCTAGCAAACAGTCCTTGTTTTAAAAAGAGCTTGGAGGGGCGTGGGAGGGTTTCCATTGAGAACCAGGAGCCTAGGACAATGTGGCCAGCTTGGCTCAGAGCTGTCTACTGAGTGTGGAGGACAAACCTATGCCAATAAAAAGAGCAAGAGAATGAGCAAGAAGAAAGAGGCGGAAACCAGGACTCCAGCTGGTGAAGTCCAGAGCTGTGCCCCGGGAAGTCATGGAAGAGAATGACAGCAAAATTTAAAAAAACCAAGAGTCACTTTCCTTTTTTATTTTAGTACTAGGGACCAAACTCAAGATCTTGTGTTTGCTAGACAGGCACTTAAGTCACAGAACTACCTACCCAGCCACTGGGCCCTTGCTGCGCTATTCAGCTGGCTTTCAGCTGTCCTCTGCCCATAGCCTGCACACCCCTGCTCGCCAGCGTGGCATAGGCTGGAGTCTCACCTCAAGGCGAGTCACTTCCAAGCTATTGCGCTCCTGTAAGGTAACCAAGTACCTTGATTTTTCTGGAACTAGAAGGTTCCTAGGACACTAGACTTTTTGAGTGGTAAAAATGGGGTGAGTTGGCCACTCTCCCTCTGGCCTTTTCGCTGCAGTGCCAGCAGATGTCATCCTCCAGCTAGAGACCTTGGCCACTGCCTTTGCTCTGCTCAGAGGCTTTCTGTACCCCAGATCACACACAGCCCCTCCCCATTTGAAACCTGATAAGGCTCAGGCTGGAGAGCACAGGGCAGAGATGGTCTCCTCCTTGAGACTCCCTGCTCCATGAGCCAGGAGGGATTTGAGATCATTCTATGAGGTACTCAGGCAAATCTCCAGGAAGTGTGACGACCAATCCCAGCCAGAACCTACCAGTCCTCCTGTCTTGGTCAAACCTCAGCCACTACTTTAGGCAATGTTAGCGGACAGGGGACCAAACCCACAGCCCAGTCTCCACAGAGGACCTGGTCTCTTCCAAGACAGCTCACTATGGGTTGAATTGTGTCCCACAAAAGTATTGAAGTATGAACACCAGTGTCTGTGGAATGTGGCCTTGTTTGGAAATAGCGTCTTTGTAGATAATCAGATTAAGATGAAGGCCCTAATTCAAAGTGACGGTGCCCTTATAAAAGAGGAAACCGGCATGCAAAGACAGGCGCCACGGAATGTACACAGTGAGAAGGCATAGGAAGAAGGTGATCATCTACCAACCCAGGAACATCAGAAGCCACCAGAGCCACGAGGGAAGCCCGAACATCACCCTGGCAACTCCTTGATTTCAGACTTCTGGCCTTCAGAACCATGAGAGAGTTAAGCCCTGGTTTGTGATCCTTTGTTACAATGGCCCTAGCATACTATTGTAGAGCCCCCGCCTGCTGCAAGCTTCAGGGCATGCCCCAACTTCCATGTCTGGTTCCATCCAGCAAACAATGCTCAGATCCCACAGCTGAGTCAGCACTAAAGCCATATGAAGACCAGGGCCCCAGGAGACAGGTAGGCATGCTTCACCCTCTCTGCTTTTATTTCTCCTGTCTGGTACAAGATAGCGGGAGGAAAGAAGGGAAGACAAGGCAAGACAGAAGGTGACAAAGAGACAAAAAGAAGGAAGGGAAGAAG